CTCATTCAAATTCTTGCCCTATCTCTAGATTTTTTATTGTTTTGTCATACTTTTTAAAACTTCCTTTATTTAAAAGCATTTTTATGATTTATTTTTTAAATATTTGAAACAACCCCAGCCTTTCAGAAAATTGGCAAATATAATATAAAGTAGTTTTTCTCCCGGAACTACTTGAGAGTAAGTTGTGATGTCCCATCACCTCTAAATATTTATGATTTGGGAAAAAAATCTCAATTATGTTTCTTTTCTGGATTGTCATGAGATACCACACTGCCTGCCATCATCTTCTGTTCACCAGCTTCTCCATGAAGTTAATTTTTCTTTAACTCTCATCAGGCTGGCCACTATTGCTGCCTTCTAAAGGAAAAGACTCCTGGGAAGAGATCCTTTCAGACCCCTTACTATGCACAATCTGATGTTCTCATTTTCTATTTTTGTCCTCCTTGGTTGCTTTGTAGCATCTGACCACATGTTCTACCTCCCTGTACCTCTGAAATTCTGTCCTCATAATTGATTTCAGAGTTCAGGAGGTATCCTGTGAGAATATTCCACGTGTAGACATATTTTTAATGTATCTGTGGGAGAGGATGAGCTCCGCGTCCTTCTATTCCATCATCTGAAGCCCCTCCCCTGATTCCATTCATTTGTTTATTCATTTATTCAACAAATATTTATTGTTGAGCACCTGTTACAATCCAGGCACTATGTTAGGCATTTTGTTTCTGATACTGAATATGACAAACTGAATAATTTTCCTAAACCACAAATAGGATCATGTCACTATAAGCTCGGATACTTATAATGCCTCCTTCGAAATTTAGAACAAACTTTCTAGACCTTGATTCAACATCCTCCTATAACAATATCTGAACCTCCCTTTCCAGCCATGCTCTCCATTGCTGCCATACCTGGCATCAGTGGTTTCTAAAGAGAGGGTCAAAGACTCCCACAGATGATTTTGACCATGGATCCAGGAATCTGCGTAAACCTCAGTATTAGACTGAATAAATACTGTGCCTATCCATCCAATCTCTATAATGTTCAACATGTGTATAGATGCTGTGGCAAATTTATTCCAAAGTGAATTTGGAATAACATGTCTTTAAGTATTATTTTCTCTGAAAGAGTACTAAAAGCACAATAATTATCATGTTGAGTGGGGGGAGCAGCCTTTTTTCATGTTCACAGGTAGACTTCAGTTTCCAAAAGTCTTAATTCTGGTCAACTGGGACAGTTTTTTCCCCTCACTATCCTGCCTTCAAGCCTTCACTGTCTTGTGGCTTACTTTCTTCCTTAAAAATCTTACCCAGTGTTCCATTTTTATTTCAAAAGTCCACCACTGTAAGGTGTCTTTTCCTATTGTAAACTTTCCCAGCTATCATTTCTTATGGCTGTCCTGGTCCTGTGCGTAAGACACTATGTGTTACTTGTCTTTGTGAGCCTGAAACACCTAACATGGTGCTGGCACATCACCTGAGCAAAAAAACTTGTCAGATGAATATAAAGCTCATTTCATAAATAATCAGCACCATAAATTTGTAACATAAGACTTCTGCACTAGAGTCAGTAGAAATAAGGTGATATATTTCCAGTATTGTTTACTGTATTGAAAAAATCTTGCATGAATCCAACATTATGCTACCTTTGAGCTTTGGGAACTCTAGAATGCATCCTGCATTTAAACAATTTTTGGCCCTTAAATCAAATGCACAAGAAGCTAAATAAGCTCATGTTTATTTTACATGCACAGAAAATGTTCTCTTACAGATGATTAATATAATTATTGATCTCCAAACAGTATTGCCTGATTAATGTATTTCTGTGATGGACCAGCTTATGAAAGGTGAGGCAGGGCTCAGACTTGTTACTGTGTTTTGATCAAAATCTTACTCTCATTATCTACTCTACAACTTTGATAGACTTCTAAGTTTTTATTGGAGACGAAGACCTTATCTCGTTCATCTCTGTATTCCCTACTCCTTCACATATAGTGTGTGTTCAAAGTTATCTAGTAAGTGAATACATTCGTGGAGCAGCCATAGGAGACGTTCTATGCGGACCCAGATGTTTTGTCCAGTTAAGCAAAACAGGTCCTGCATGAAAATGACTTACTATAATGGCCCAATAGATAAGATAAACCTTCATGTATATTTATATAAGAGAAATATATTTAATTCTATTATTATGCTCTTTTCTCCCATTTTATCAGAATTCTATGATACATCTTGTCTCACTCTATTCCCAGGAATTATGACAAGTTTTGATCAAAGAAAGATATGTATCTTCCTTGCATAACCAGCATTCAACTTACGTAGTACTTGCAGATTTGTTACAGTTAGACAAGTGTACATGTGAGAGCAGGAAGCTATAAAGCAATCCTTGGAAACTTTCCAGAATTTTAGAATATAATTTTGGCTTACATACATCAATCAAGGGAAACTGGTAGTGGAAAGTTCAAAAATCATTTTCTCCCTTGACCTCTATCTGTGATTTTCATATATTAGTGGATGGGTTCTTATCAGTGAAGATTCAGGATATCATGTCTCTGCCAATTTAGAGACTGGTAATTGTATTTTAACTGGGAAGTTATCTCAAAATTAGAAGTGATGCTGCCACAGAAAGAAAAATCTCTTCTTGTCATAGTGCTAATAGTACTGAGAAAAAAATCCTGAGTCCCAAATAAGAAAGACTTTTCTAAGGAAGGGTGTAGAAAGGCAAGGACTAATGTTCTTTATGCAGTTGTGACCCTGATTCAAAGCTGCTTGGTGAAACTCACTGAAATTATCACCCCTCCCACAGCAGAGCTAGGGACAGGATTTGGGAACTCCCAAAAGAGAGAAATGGGGCCACTGTCCAAATAACAGTCATATAAACTTGGAAACTAACACCTCATGGCAGTAGGATTAGGAAATATTCCTTAAGTTCAATTGATTCTATCAAGCTATTTTTAAAAATGTTTTTTAAAACCTTCATATAGTCTTACTGGGGTGTGGTACTCATTTCCTCCTTCCTTTATCTTGGCAGAACATCCCTGTAATTGGTTTCCCACAAGGAAATGCCAAATCCTAACATCAGACAGTTATACGGAGAGCAAATAAAAATCATTCCACGTTTTCCTTTGCAGATTAATCATTATTACCATTACCCATCATATTTGTAAAAAGGTACTCAATTGCTTAATACACTTTTAATCACTTGAATATATATTTTTAAAGATCTTAGCTTTCGTCAAAATCCAACCAAAAGAGAGATTAAAGCTTGATGGTAAATGAAACAACCAACTGGACACACTTAAAAGGTCGCTAGGCCTTATCAGAAGTGAGGATGTTTCAAGACAGAGCTCTCTTCCTGCAGCTCCTCAAATCCAAGTATGGGCTGGGAGGCACAGGAAGGCGAGGCAGTCACAAGGTGTTCCTGGCCTGGAATCTAGAGGGTCCATTTCAGGGTTAATCATAAGAGGAGAGAGAAAGATGTCCAGAGAAGAAGGTGATTTTCTGAGACTTCAGGATTTACAATCAGGCTGAACACCTCCTCTCACACTGAGCATCAAACAAGGAGTATGTACAGTTCTCAGCCATAGATGTGAGCCATAATCAGGCTGAATTTGCCATTGTCTGTCTTCCAGGTCTTCAAATCTCTGTAAAATTGTTACCCATCATTTAACTCTAGTCCTAGGATGTTGCTTGAATTTTTGTATTAATTTAAAAAAAAGCATCGGTATGGAGAGTCCTTAAAAATCTAAAAATAGACTTGCTGTATGATCCAGTAATTGCACTCCTGGGCATGTATCCAGAGGAAACTCTAATTCGAAAAGATACATGCACCTCAGTGTTCAGAGTAGCACTATATACAATAGCCAAAACGTGGAAGCAACCTAAATGTTCATCGACAGATGACTGGATAAAGAAGCTGTGGTATATATATACAATGGGATAATACTCAATCATAAAAAAGAATGAAATAATGCCATTTGCAGCAACATGGATGGGCCTGGAGATTATCATACTAAGTGAAGTAAGCCTTAAGGAGAAAAAAAAATACCATGTGATAGCACTTATATGTGAAACCTAAAAAAATGACACAAATGAACTTACTTACAAAACAGAAATTGACTCACAGACAGAAAATTAACTTACGGTTATCAGAGGGGAAAGGGGAGGGAACAGGGATAAATTGGGAGTTTGAGATTGGCAGATACTAACTACTGTATATAAAATAGATAAACAAGGTACTACTGTATAGCACAGGGAAATATATTCAGTAACTAGTAATAGCCTATAATGAAAAAATATGACAAGGAATATTTGTGTATGTATAACTGAATCACTATGCTGTACACTAGAAATTGACACAACATTGTACATGGGCTATACTTCAAAGTTAGAAGAAAAAAAAAAGCAAGGACTCATTTTTTTTTTTTAACTTCAATGAATTTTTTTTTCTTTTCTTTTTTTCCCCTCCTTTTTCAGTTTTATTAGATAGAAAGGGACTCATTCTTTTTTCGGTTTCATGCTGAGTTGCACTCCACATCAGATCAGCCAGAATTTAATGACACCATCTCGGGTTTTCTAGTTACGTTCACAGCAAGATGAACCAAGTAAAACGTTCAGACTTGCACTTTCAGCAATATCAGTGCACTCTCCACACTGGAAAAAACAGAAATACCTTCTACCAAAATGCTGCTTTCCCTTTCCTTCTCATTCTGCCTTAAAAAATACACTCTGAAACCCACAATATTTCTTCTTCTTATTACTATTATCATTATGTAAGAAATAAATTGTCCTCAATCACTAAGGAGATCCAGTGTTATGCTAAAGTGGTAGAATGAGTTTCTTTAGATTTTATCCTACGTTATCAAAGACCCCAAACCTGAAAGCATCAGGTTTGACAATAGTGATCTCAAAGAGTTAGCAAGTTTAAACAGATTCATCTAAGAGTCAGGGGTATTATTTATGACAAATGATCATTTATGCAAATCCAAGTAAATGTCATCTACTAACCTGTGTCAAAACAAGGTGTTCAGATTTTACTTGATTCTTTAAGCAAAGCACATTAAACTTAAATAATGCCTCCCAGGGCTGAAACATCTGTTTTCTTAAGCAGCATGTCCTCCGTGAGAAATTCCAAGTAAGTAAATAGGACATGAGGCCATTTTATAATTTGTGCCAAGGTAAAACCAGAAAGTACCTCCTAAGTTAAGCCAATCGAAAACAGAAATATGTGACAGGTTTTTCCACTAGCAACTCTACATTGTTAATTCAGGTAATCTCCATTTATCTAAAACCATTTGATTTAATCTGGTCTTAGAAAATGTATGTGACTGAGTTGATGCCAAAACCTATTTCATGATGTGCTCTACTTTTTTAATACTGGAAAAAATGTAAACAGAAAATATACTTTAAACATAGCATTATTTTTGTTTTTGGCTTATATGTTTATAGAATGGTAATAGAAAAATAATGTGGACTCAGAAAAGGCTAAATTTTAAGATCAGCATGTTTCATACCTAATATAATGTTGTATTGCTTTTATTTTTTTGCACTTTATTTTTTATTTATTTTATTTTCAAAAACACTCTTTATTGAGATACAATTGACATACAAAAAGCTACACATATTTAATATATGCAATTTAATGGGTTTGGCTATAAGACTATATTGTGAAACCATCACCATGATCAAAGTTGTAAACTTATCCATTACCTATAAAAGTTCACTCCCCCTTTATTTACTTATTTATAATATGTGGGGGAGGGTAAGAGCACTTCACATGAAATGTATCTTCTCAGCAAAGTTTTCAATGTACAATACAGTGTTGTTAACTGTAGTCTCTGTGTTGTACAGCAGAGCTCTCGGACCTCTTCATCTTGGATAACTGAGACTACGTACCCTTTGACCCACACTTCTCCATCTCCTGCTCCCTCTAGTCCCTGGAAACCAAAATCCTACTCTCCGGTTCTATCAGTTTGACTATTTTAGATTATTTATAAAGGTGAGATCATTGTTCTTTTCTTTCTGTTACTCGCTTATTTTACTTAGCATAATGTCCTCCAGCTTCATCCATGTTGTTGAAAATATCAGGATATCCTTCTTGTTAAAGGTTGAATAATATTCCATTGTATATATATATATCACATTTTAAAATTTGAGATAATTTTTTTTCAATGATGAGAATTTTTAATGGTACAAACATGTTGGAAAGATTAATTTAACCCTACAAATTCTGCATCAACAAGATATCCTGTGCCCAGGATTTTACTTAAGGGAAAAGAAGGTCCACAGAAATGACCATAAATGTTTATAGTAGCAAAAATTGAGACAGTTGACATATAACATTATATTAGTATCAAGTGTACAGTGTAATGATTCAATATTTGTATATATTGTAAAATAATCACAATAAATCTAGTTAGCATTCATCACCATACATTGTTGTAAATTTTTTTCTTGTGATGAAAACTTGTAAGAGTTACCCTCTTAGCAACTTTCAAACATACATTACAGTATTATTAGCTATAGTCCTAATCTTTCTGTCAGAGCAGTTGTCACACTGAATATATTTCATCACTTGGAGACTCTTCCAAGTCCTCTCCCAGATGGTCATTTCTGGATGTCTATTATTCTGTGTACGTCTTGCAACACCTTACACAGTGCCTGGCATAGATGCTCACTAAAATTTTTCAGTAAACTAATGAATGAACTAATTCATGCCTTAATTAATGAAAGGCCTGGAATTGAGTCATTTTAAGATCCTATGAATAGCAAAATGGAAAACTTTAGTAGCACTATGTAGAGGTATGCATTTCCTAGAATAGCAAAATGGAAAACTTTAGTAGCACTATGTAGAGGTATGCATTTCCTAGATATGCAAGCTTGTTAATTATAACTCTTTCAGAAGGCCAAAGAGAGAGCAAAGTAGTAACCTATCCATCAAAACAGTAATTTTATTTGATCATCAGATTGATTCATTCGATTTAATTTTTTTTTAAGAAAACATAACTGTTTAGAACAAGAAAGTTGCTTTTACCCATCACGATTCCAAATGCTTGATATCAGTGTTCATGTTCTGAGATGCTTTGGTAATGGTTTGTTTTTGTTGGTACAGAAAATGTGCTCTTGTATCAAAACCATAAAAGGCTGTGCATGATGGAATCTTGAGTATCTAAAGGTACTTAAAATAAATATTTCTACCCTCAGGTTTAGCAATTTTCATAACAGATGTCTTCTATCAGAGAAAGTAGCAGATATTCTTTCCTTTAACTTGGCAGGCACATTTGTATTTTCTATACTCTGTATTTTCTAGTAGAGAGGGGCTTTTGTTTTGTTTTGCTTCATTTTTCATGGTTTTGAGTTATCTTCTAAGACACAGAGGTAGTATGATACACTGGTGAAGGACATGGACTTTCTGGGCAGGCAGCACTGAGTTCTGATCCCAGGTCACACAGTAACAGTGACTACCAATTGTGGACCGCTTACTAGATGACTAGCTTTGGGATAATTTTCTTTACATGAATGATTTCACTCAATTTTCACAATTTAGAAGATATTATTAAGAATATATTTTACGTGAGGAAACTGATGGTTAGAGCATTAAGTAAAATTTCCAAGTATACTCAGCTGGTAAGTGAAAAGACAGCATTTGAATTCAGGTCTATTTAATTCCAGAATCCATATTTTAAACATTATAGTCTTAAATGTCTACTGTGACCTTGATCAACTTCCTACACATTTCTGCATCCTGTTAGGTTATTGTGGGGGGTTAGATAAATTAGCATTTGTAAAACACTCAGGATGGTGCCTGGTACAAAGTTAAGTTCTCAATAAATTATAACCTAAAAATATTTACAGCTTTTGCTTTTAACAGCCAGTTATCTGTTAGACAAATAGAAAAGAAGGAAAAATAATCATTTATATTGATCCATAAACTTGTATTTCATGTATTTTCATTCCTTTCTATAATTCTAAATTTTCATCTGATACTAACTTCTTCAATCTGAAGAACTTTAGCTTTTCTTGTGGGATGGACATGCTGGCAACAAATTATCTCCACTTTTGCTTTTCCAAAATTTTATTTTTTTAGCTTTATTGAGGTATAGTTGACAAATAAAACTGTAAGATATTTTAATTGTATATTGTGATAATTTGAGCATATACACTGTGAAAGTGTTCCCATCATCTAGTTAACATGGCCATCACTTGACATGCTGATCATGTGTATGTGTGTGTGTGAGACCAAGTTCTACGCTCATAGCAAATTTCAAATATATAATATAATGTAATCAACTATAGTCATCATGTTTTACATTACGTCCTCAGACCTTACTCATTTTGTAACCTGGCAGGACCCTGTGGAGGCTTCCAGGATCAGACTCCTCCCCCATACCCTCTGTTGTAGCTCCTCTCTGAAGCACCCAGATAATAGTATCTCATGTATATTTCCTGAGCTTTTCAGATGCTAAAAACCACCACCATAGGGAAGAAATTAACTACTTGATGGTAGAGAGCACGTGGCCCCCAGACCTTCTGGCGCCTAGGGGTTGACAGTGCTGACAGCCCTGTTACCTCAACATCAACCAATCAGAGAATTGTGCACGAGCGGATCACATTCCCTGTGACCCCCCTCCCTTACCTGGCCTTTCAATATGCCTTGCTGAAACCATTTGGGGAGTTTGGGTTTTTCTTGGGCATGAGCCATACTGTCGTCCTTGCTTGGCCCTGCAGTGAAGCTTTCTCTGCTCCAGCCTCTGACATTTCGGTATGTTTGGCCTCATGGTGTATCAGGTGTACAAACTTGCCTTCGGTAACAATCTCATAGCTGAATGTACCCTTTTACCAACCTCTCTCTACTTCTGCCACACTCCTGGTCCTGGAAGTTACTTCTCTATTCTGTTTCTAAGAGTTCAACTATTTTTTAAGATTCCACATATAATTGATACCATGCAGTATTTATCTTCCTCTGTCTGGCTTATTTCACTTAGCAGAATACCCTCTAGTTTCATTCATGTTGTCAAAAATGACAGGCTTTCCTTTTTTCATGTCTGAATAATATTCCATTTTATCTATATCTCACATCTCACATCTTCTTTATCCGTCCATCCACTGATGAACCCTTAGGTTGACAGTGCTGACCACACCGTGGCACATATTTAGTACATTATTAATCCCTAGGCTTATAGAAAATAATCAGTTGTGTATATTAATGTCTTCCTTTTTCATTACAGTTTGTTTCATAAGGCTAAAGATACTTGTTTCTCTTATTGATCAAGTAATCTGTGTTTCAGTTTTAATAATTACTATTCACCTCTCTTCAAGTTTACTGATCCTTTATTCTGCATTTTTCAATCTGCTGTTAATCCCAACAATGCTTTTTAAACTCCAGATGTTATATTTTTTCATTCTAAATGTATCATTTCTTTTTCAGAGTTTCCACATCTCTTCCAAAATTATCTGTCTATCTCTTCATCCATATTCTTGAAGATCCTTTAATATATTTATCATAGTTATTTTAAAGCTCTGACTAGCAATTTCAGCAACAGAATAATCTATGGGTCCAGTTCTATTGATACTATTCTTGACTCCAGGTCACATTTTCCTGTGTTTAATAATTTTTAATAATTAATAATTATTTAATTTTAATGCACATTTAATAATTTAAAAGTTTATGTTGGGCATTATGCATGATGATACGTTATAAAGATTTTGTATTTTGCAGTGTCCTCTGAAAAGTATTGAGGGTCTTTTTTTAGAACACAGTTAAATTGCCAGTAGATTACTGTAATTCTGTTGATATTTGGTTTTCATTTTGAGCTTTGTTGGAGTGGATCTATTTCAGTTTTAATCTTGGTTCTGAGATATGATTCTTACTCCTAAGGTGTGGCCCTTCTGGGGTTTTAATAGAAAGTTCAAGCTGTTCACCAAATCCTGTTAACTCAGTAGGACTTGAATGTCAAGTTCTGTCCCCTCAGAACTGGGTGGATGCTGAAATCTCTGCTCTGTTCTCTCAGCCTTCTTGCATTTGATTCCCACTGGAAACACTGTCCTCTTGCTTCTCATTTGTGTCATTCAGGCATTAGCTAAGAATTTGAAGGAATTTGTGGGCAGATTTAAGATGGCTACTTCATTTGTT